AGTCTGAGATGGTGTTTTAAAATGGATCTCAAATGAATGCAGTAGAAGTCTTGTACCACCATGACACCTGTTATAAATGCCACATATATGTGCAAAGAAACTTTGCTTTTGAAAGCGCTGTATCCTCAGATGGTTTCAGACTCTGGCACTACTTCAGAACTCTGATGCTACTATGAAACATGTATTGCAGAGGTCTAGTGAAAAAAGAATGGTAATATGCACCATGGGGGGAAACAGTTGAAATCCTATGGCAGCTTGTGATTGCTTTCCTGCTCCCGCACTGGCCTGTTTCTTCTTGCTGTAGATTTTCACCCCAGAAACTCACAAAGCCCTTCCCTCTGGGAAGAGGGAAAACCAGAACAACTTAGCCATGTCAAAAGTTCAGGTTGTGCTACAGAAGAGCTGCAGATGGGAGAAGAGTGTAGGTAAAAAAGTTTGCATTGAGTTAATGAAGATTGGGTTTTGTGAAAGACAAACATTCTTGTAAGAAAAGCTTTAGTACGAGAGAAGCAAAAGGAACATGTGTTTAGTTTGAAATGATAGAATTTTGACGTATTTCTGAAAGAAGTATTATGAAAATATTTTTGAGCTTGGATGGCTTAACTGTGATCCTGACAAAACTTAAGCATAAATTGAAAGTGCAGGTGGAAGAGGGCCAGATAACCTGGGAGGAATATGGAGACTCTGTTTGAGCATGACTGTGATCATGAGTACCTTATATCAGCAATAGTGTGGCCAGCAGGACCAGGGAGGTGATCATTCCCCTGTACTCATGACTGGTGAGGCTGTACCTCAAATCCTGTGTTCAGTTTTGGGCCCCTCACTTTAGGAAAGCTGTTAAAAGGGCTGGAGCAAGTCCAGAGAAGGGCAGAGGAGCTGCTGAAGGGTCTGGAACACAAGTCCTATGAGGAGCAGCTGGGGGAGTTTAGTCCAGAGAAGAGGAGGCTCAGGGGAGACCTTACTGCTCTCTGCAACTGCGTGAAAGGAGGTTGGGGTGAGGTAGGGGTTGGTCTCTTCCAAATGACAGGACAAGAGGAAATGTCTTCAAGTTGTGCCAGAGGAGTTTTTCATTGGCTATTAGGAAAACTCACTTCACTGAAAGGATTGTCACGCATCAGAACAGGCTGCTGGGGTTGAGTAACCATCCCTGGAGGTATTTAGAAGATGTGGCACTCGGGGACATGGTTTAGTGGTGACTTTGGCAGTGTCTGGTTAATGACTGGGACTCAATGACCTTAAAGGTCTTTTCCAAGGTCTTTGGAATGAAAGCTACTGAATGGAGAAGTGTACTTTGTGACAAAAGATGTTGGAAAGTCCAAGAACTACAGGCTGATCAGTCCCACCTCAGTCCCCAGGAAGGTGATGGAGCAAATCACTATGAAAACCCCTTCTGGAACACATGAAGAGGAGGAATGTGATTGGGAGTAGTCGGCATGGATTTCTGAGGGGGAAATTTTGTTTAACCAACTCAGCAGCCTTCTGTGTATAGATAGCTGTTGACCAGTTGGAGGTCAGTCACTTTTGACATGCTCCTGGTGGGCACCAGTGTGACATTAATCACCAATCAATGTGACCAGTGTGACGTTAATCACCGTGTGCTTGTGGCAGAGAGCCAACAGCTCCTGGTTGGTGAGAGGAAGTTTTGCCAATGGGTTGAGGGAAATGGTCCTTCCTCTTTACCCATTGTGGTGGGGGGGCCCCATCAAGGGTGCTGTGTCCACCTCTGGGCTCCTCAGCACAGGAGATATGGATATACTGAAGCAAACCTAGTGCAGGGCCACACAGATAGTTAAAGGCTGGAGCATCTGACACACAAGAAGGACAGAATGAGCTGGTACTGTTCAGCCTTGAGAAGAAAAGGCTCCAGGGGTATTTCATGTGTAAGTACCCAGTGAAAAATTGTAAAGGAGGGAGAGACAGACCTTTCTCAGCCTTATTCAATGAAAGGATGGAAATCCCAAGAGGGATATACAAGAAATACAAGAAATTTCATTTAAACATCAGAAATCTTTTTTCTGATGGACACTGTGAGTTTGGTCAGTCACAAATCAGATCTGATTTCCCAGAGATGGTGAAGTCTCCATTATTGAAGGTATAAACAACTCCCAACTTTAGAGCCTGCTTTGAGCTGATTGGATTGATCACAAGAGGCTTCTTCCAATGACAGTTGCTGTATGAATCTGATTTTCACATCTATTTTTAACAAAGTAATTGTATTAAAGAGCTTTCAAAGGATGCAAGTTCTTTAATCAGTTTTGATGTGTGAAGTCCAGAAGTATATTCCCTTCTTTCCAGTACATGGCTCTGAATGTTAGGATGCTCTCCTGCTTTCTGATGCTTATCCCACTGGAATGTGCCATGAATTCTCCAAAATTGCAGCACTTCTGGTACAAGGCCATACTCAAATGCCTTCTCAGTGTACTTAATGACCATAAATTCTCTGGCTTCTGTGCTGTCTTTCTCACAAGTAACCCCTAGGTAAGTTTTCTTTGGAAAATATAAATATCTTTTGTTTACTGGCACTCTGCTTCTATAGGGCTTGGCTTGCTCGTGATACCAAACAGCAAACTCTTAAAGGTGTTTTTTTCTCTTTTGGCAGTGATTAGTTTGTCCTTTATTTGAAATCTGTACTTCTCTTTGCAGAAATGTTTGAGGGGGGAAAGGCGAGTTTCCTATCCTACTAGTTAAAAACAAAATGTACACAAGGGAAAAGCTTTCCATGTAAAAGAAATAAAACCTTCTTCTGTCAGGTGCTTCAGGTGAATGGGTTGCATTTCTGTTAAAATTGAATCATCACTGCTTTTCCTGTATAAACTGATTTCTTTGGAGTAGTCAGGATGATGCTAATCCTTGATAGCTTTGCCAATGTGACTGGTGTATAACATGAATTAGGAGAGCAGGGAGTAGTGTTGGTCCTGGTCCTGCTGCCTGCCATGGGGAGAGTATTCATTTGCAGAACAGGTCCTGTCCTCAGCCCACACAGTAATATTTGTACTAGCTCATAAAGGCCCAGAAAACATTAGGAACATACCTGGTGGGATCTACACAAGACCAGATGAGTGGTCTGTTATCTCTACTACTAGAGGCATCTGAATCAGGCATCTTCTTGCCAGGTTAAATTTGTAATCCACTGACATCAGCATTTTAAAGAGATAATCTGTGCAGCATGTCAGTTTTTCCTCTTGAGGTTATTGCTTACCTGGAACATGTTAAAAACAGTTCCTTGGAGTAGAAACATGGTTTGAGCAGTCCCTGGTGAAACTGCTGTTCAAAACAAGTGTACAAAGGCAAAAACTAAAAATATATCAGAATGTTCCAGAAGTGTGGTGTATGCTATTTTAAATTTAACTTGCTAGAACCAGCACTTAAGTATTTCAAGCAATTTCTAAATGTGCCCAGCATTAGATTGTTTAGATTCTAGTCAGGAGACTGAGTGGGATTGAGTACTCCTGTACTGTCTAACTTCCTACTGTCTGTTTTATGTAATTCTCTCATGCATTCTTCTGACCACTTACATGATGGAGTTGTGTTTTTCCTTTTACTATATAACATGCCTGAAGATGAATGTCCAAATTTAGCTGTTGTGGACTCTAGCTGTACTGGGGTTAGATATGAGGGAACAGCATTGTCCTGGTTTTGATCAAGCTCGCTCTTCTGTTCTAATTGTGCTTTTACATATCCTCTCAAATATATGACTCTGTAGCTCACTTGTTACTATTATTGTGTTGTAAGCATTAATTAAAATAGGGAACACACTTTGAGGTGAATGAGGTGCTTCTGGGATAGAGGCTGGGCCATGCCCTTGTTGGTTCACAGCCTGAAAGAAGGGAGATGATGGTGGTTGTATCTGTGGAAGTTCAGACTGTAGAAATGAACACATCTGTTCTGAGTGCCTGAAATTATTGACTTGAAAGGAATGGTGTTCTAGATGTAAGAAATTAGCACAGAGCATTCATCCACTATGAATGAGTTCGGTAATGATTTAGCAACTAAAAGTTGCATATTGACATTTTTGTCAAGTCTGGACTACAGCAAAGCAGTCATAGATTACATGCTCTGACAAAATGTTGCTATAAATGTTTTAGGTCATTCTGAAGAATATGTAAATCCTTGAAGGCTTTTTTTTTTTAAAGATGTAGAACTACAGTCTTGTACCTTTTTGCTTCTGATGATTTTCAAGTTTTATACAATAGAGTGTCAGCCTTGAAATTGGCTTGTTAGCTTTTCTTTCAAAAGAATTTTTGAAGTAAAATGTTGATGATGAAACCTAGAGACTTCTTGGTATAGGACTTAGACAATTTAGATGGTCCTTCAGGACACGTGTATGTAGGAAACTTTTTTTTTCCTTCACAGACATCAGCGGTCTATTGGTGGCTTTCAGTTGTATAAGGTTTTATTGTGGGGCCAGCTGGCAGAGATGTGGGGAGGGGGCTTGGATGCTTGCTGGAGGAGGATGTTGAGCTGCAGAGAAGAGGCCTGAATGTCTTTGGAGGCTGGGTTGTCTCTGGGGAGGGTACAAAAAAAGGCTTTTGCCATTTGTTTTGGCAAATAGGATTCCCTGGAGCAAAGGGGAGAATGTAGTTTTTGCTGGGTATGGGTTGAGGTGCAGTGTCTGATACCTTGCACTCAGAACTGGCTGAGAAGGTTGCTGGCAAAAAATAGTGCAGGTCTTCCACTGTGTTTATTTTGGGTCTTTGCTGCGCAGTAAAATGTGAAGGGCATTACATTGTTTGAGCATACAACTTGTTCTTAACTGCCACCCTGGTCTTAATATGTTAGATTTACTGAGCTTTTGTCCATAATACATCTCAGTAAAGTCTAAAATAAGAATGTTTCTGTGACTATGGTTCTGGGAGCACAAAACATTTCTGGTTTTACACATTTTATCAAATTCCATATTTAGAAGAAAGAGGTAGTTCTTCTTTTCAGGCTACAGCATCATAAAAAAGCTTAACCTATTTCTGAGGTTGTGTTCAAGGCTGTTTCCTCTCTGTTTTCAGAGGTGTTGTCAAAGTCGACATCAATCTGCAGAAGGTGGACATTGACCAGTGCTCGAGCGAGGGATGGTTCTCAGGGACACACAGGTGTCATCTCAACAATTCTGAGGTATGTCTGTCCCTAAGGGACCACTTCAGTAATAAATCTGTACACTGAGCAGTGCTCTGTAGTATAAATGTTATGTATTTTGTTGACATTGAATGTGGTTTGGTTGGCTGGAGGAATCTTTGTGTGTGAGGTGTTGTGGAATGCATAAGTTTCAGGAGTGCCTGCATTTCAGAATTATTGATGTTGAAACAGCAGCAAAGTTATTGTGAAGAGATAACACTTACAGGGAAAAAGATTACTAATGAAATAATTTATGAGGTTCTGCTTTGCAAGTCAAACAATTATTTTGTGCTCAAAATCAAAATAGAATTTTAATGTCAGTGTCACTTTTGCTTGGACAACTTTGCAAAATGTAGTAGAAGTAGCTGAAATGCTAATGGTAATTATTCAGAAAAACATGGTCATTTTACAGAGTGATACAGAATAACAGGCAGAATTGGATACTGTAATTCCTTCTTAGTAGAAATGCCAACATTTTGACAGAGCTGACTAAAATGTTTATGTTCAGCTCCTTCCTGCTTCCCCTTTCTTCTGAAGGTCTGTGTCTGGTTCCATCTGTCAGCAAATCATAGATCATTCGCCCTGGCCTGTCATATGTATTCAAAGAAACTTTTAAACAAAATATATTTTGATTTTTCTTTTAGTTCTCCTGTGTAAAGGTGATTTCAAAGGCACCCATTTGTTCTCTGTGAGAGTGGTAGCTGTGCACTTCTGTGCTTTTGAAAAGGACAATTAAAATGTAGGAGAAATTGACATTTGTCTACCAGAAGTCGGGAGATGTTTGCCTAATTTTCTGTAAAATGCCAATTTATCAATGCTAAGTCTAAATTTAGGAAAACAGTTGGTTTTGATGAATTCAGCTGCTAACATTTTTGAGCAAGAAGAACTCAGAATTTTTGTAAACATCTTTTTTTGGGTCTTTTTCTCTTAGATTTTTTTTTCATTAAATAAAGTTGAAATGCAAAATCAAGTCTTAGATAAAGACTAAATATTTCTGCAAGTGAAAAAAATTATTTCTCCACCAAATACTTTTTGACTTCTGAATTGAAGGGAATACTTTTTAAATCACTCCTGTTTCTTCCTAGAAGAAAATACTGCTTCCCATGTGATCTGGTAAACCTTGTTTTTTTAATACAGTCTAGTTATCCCAAATGCGATTATGTACTTTGGCATGTGCTCCTCCTTCTCCTAATGTCTTATGAGCAAAATATGTTAGTAGAGGGATGGAATTGTAAACTGCATCTCTGCAACCAAGAATAAAAGGGAAAAAATGCAGTCCTAGGTCTCTTGTGGCTCAGCCCCAGCTGGCAGCTAAGTCCCATGCAGTCATTCATTCATTTCCCCTGCCCCCACTGCCATGGGAAGGAGAACTGGGGAAAAAAGATAAAGCTTGTGGGTTGAAATAAGAACAGTTATTAATAGAAACAAAGCAATATGGCAATAATAATGATAATATGCTATTACTATAATGATGGGGGGGAAAAAGGAAAATTAAACACAAGAACAACAATATCACCAGCTGACCCATGCCTGTCCTGTCCAGAATATGGCAATAATAGAATATGGCAATAATAATGATAATATACTATTACTATAATGATGGGGGGGAAAAAGGAAAATTAAACACAAGAACAACCCGTGGTGCACAATATCACCAGCTGACCCATGCCTGTCCTGTCCTCCAGCAGCGAGTGACCCCTCCTGCCCAGCTCTTCACCGGTTTATATATATGTGCCACCAGGCATGATGTTCCAGGTGTGGGATATCCCTGTGGCCAGCTCAGGTCAGCTGTCCTGGCTCTGATTGCTTCTTGTGCAGAGCATGGGAAACTGGAAAACCCTTGACTTAATGCAAGCATTGCTTAGCACACTGGTGTTTTGGCTGTTGCTATCAACATTACCCTCACAGAGAATCCAAAACACAGCAGTGTACAGCCACTGAGCAGAAACTACCACAGCTGAACCCAGGAGAAAGTCCCACGTACTGCTTTTCATGCTTGTTTCATTGGAACCCACTGTGTGGAGTAAGGGTAACAATATTTTCCACACAGTTTTGCTTATAAATGCTAATGAAACCATATTCCCTGTGCTCTCTCTTAACTACCTAGGAAGAGTTAAACAAATGCCTGCTGATGGTTGAATGCTCTGCCCCCATTTACAAAGTCTGGCTCCAGCAGAGTAGGAAGAGAATGGAGATCTCTGGATTTCCAGTTCTGCTCTATTTAGATCTTCCGTGCTCACTTCAGTTTTGTTAGGTAACTTGAGTATTTACTGCAGCATAGCCTCTGTGCAGACTGTTTGATAATCCTTTGCCATAGTGAATTTCTGACTTGGCTCTGAAAGTGTTTACTTCATAGCCCATACCATGGGGCCAGGCCACCAATACCATTAAACCAAAGGCATAAAGCTCAATATTTAAGAATTTTGGAAATGCAGCTCCCTTCTTCCCTAATGGTAGAAAATAGAGAGTGACTTTATGAAAGAATGAGAGGAAAAGACCAAAGTTATGGATTAATCAAAATGCTTTTATAGTGGCTAAAATCTACTAAACACATGGCAGACAATTTTTCCTACTTTCTGTGCTGTTCTGAAGTGTTTATTTTCCAAACAAAAATCAGTTGAAATGAGGGAGATGGAGGTGCATGGAAACATATGGTAAGCCAGTGGTCTGTATGTGCTAGACAGAAAAAAGGGAAGGCATGGATGGGATCCAACTTCTTCCAGAAAATAGACTGTTGTTGAAAGTACTGTATTGCCTTCACATAGTCTGGCACAGCAGTATTAGGAGATGATGCTAACTGTGGCACAGGGATTTGTCTTTGGAAGGTCATCAAGAACAACCTGATTGTGATGGAATAGTTATAGTGCTAGTCCTTGTTTGGAAAAACCAGTGTCAGGTTGAGTGATTTAGGAATATTGTGATTCAGATATGCAATATGCTGAGACATACTAATCTTCCTTAAACTTTGATCTGTCCTTAGATTTAGGTGCTCCTTAGGATTGTTGGATCTTAAATATCTTGCTTTATGTATGGTGCCCTCAAGTACAAAAAACAGAAACAAAAACAAGCACTAAGACCTTTGAATTCCTCATTTTTAATTTGACTACTTAATTTCCCAATATGTAAGGGATTTGTTTCCTGATTTGTTCTCTTTTGTGAGCAATACACATACATCCCCGATTTATATCAGTCTAGATGAATAATAGTGCCCTTCTTAAACCACAGGGTAACTGAACACTGCTCAACCTAATTAAGCAGGAAGTTAGGTGATACTTAACACAGGAAAGCCAAATTGCAGCCATGGCTAAAGTCTATTGTTGTTATGCTTTTCTCCTTTCTTTCGATAACTGAATCAGCCAAAAAAAGGCTGATGGCCAGGTGACTTCTGTGAGAGAGAGCTACGTTCTGCTTCCTGCCTTCTGTCTTGACTCCCAAATAGGTGATGGCTTCCCCAAAAGCTATTGGGCAAGATATTTGGATTCCCTAGGGCTGCAACAAATATGGCAGGTAATATCTGCAGAATTAGAAATAATTAAGTTGGGTAGATCATAAAACGATGCAGACAAGTCTGAAATTAACAAAGTGTAGTTATCCAATAACAAATGCAAAGTAATTTCATTGTACAGGCAGTGCTGTACAATGTACAGTCATGGCTGGTAATGGGAGTAAGAAAACATGCACTTTTACCCTGTTTGAAACCCTTGAAGACTTTTACTATATTGGATTTCTTCTCAATAAATGCTGACAGCAGCTGCTGGCACTTTTAGTAACAACTTTAGAGTCCTTGTGGAGCCACCAGCAATAATGTCAAGGCTGAGGAGCATCTGAAGAAATGAGCTGGTGTGGCCCCTTGAGCTCGGCCGGATCCTTCCAGCCAGCAGCATCAGTCTGTGGCAGTGGCAGCAGGCTCCACACTGTTCCCCTGGCCTTAATGAGCCTGCCAACAGCTTGCAGTGTGAGGCAGGCTCCGCTGACATCCCTTTGGGTTTCAACAGTATTCCACAAATGACAGCGTGCAGAAATATCTGGAGGAAATGAGGGAAGCAGAGTAAACAAGAAAGCTGCATTGCTGTCTGTATACAGTGGCTGCATATCTGTGTTTGTAGAAGGATGCATAGGCCTACTGTGTGTTTATTTATTGTGCGCAAACACAAAACCAGTTGAGAAGGGAAAACAAATGAGCAGTGCAGCCAAAATCTTTTTTTCCATTGTTTAGCAAAACATTTGGGTCCATCATATTTTAGTATACTGTATGCAAGTGTACAAGCAACTGAGCAAGGGGGAGGCAGGGGCTGGTTAAAAATAGACTTGTAATGGGGATGGGTTGGGAGGGAGGGTGTGGGTTACCCAATGCTTTCCAGGTTTTTCAAGCAAATGCTTTTCAGTGCCCTTGTCAGACTGGGAAAAGGCTATTAATGTACACAGTCTGTGGGAGGGGAACTGTGGCAAGAGATTAGCATCTGAAGTCATAACCCACTGGGTCATACTCAGATACTCAGTGTCATTGATTTTGCTTTTTACTTGCATTTATTTGCTGTCCTATCCATTAGGAAAAGTGCAGTCAGAATTAGAAGAATTTGAAATCAAAGCTGTTTGGTGATTCAGTCTGAGTGAATGGGTTTATGGGCTATAGTTAGCTTCTAATTTGGTAATAATAATCATTCTTGAAGCTGCAGATTGCATTCAACACAGAATAAGAGCAGTACCCTCCCAGAGTAGAGGGCATGTCAGGATATATTTTGTCTTAAAACAGCATCATTGGTGGTAGAAAACAAACACTAAATATCAAATCCTGTGCTGAAGGGGGAAACTAAGGCAGAAAGGGCAGTGGCTCACTTCAGTATGCAGGTAAAGAAAATATAGCCAGCATTTATTGGGTTCAGAAGCAGACAGGTGTATCTGTTCTCTCCAACAGCTCAGGGTATTTGAAGAGCCTGCATCCAAAAAACATTTTGGATGCTATTTTAAAAATAACTTTTGCATCATCTGCGTTCATGGGA